CCCCAAAACCCCAAAACCCCAAAACCCCATTTAGTTTCCCAAAATAGAATTACTTAACTGTCTTAATAACCTTACCCATCTCTTCTTTCATCTTACACTTTCTGTACTCATTAATTTCTTCTTTGATAAAGTCTTTCATCTGGATGGACTCGTCCTTCTTCTTTAGGAAAATGAGCACACCTATTATGCACAGAATAGTTCCTATTATAAAGCCAATTACTTGGTTCAAAGAAATTTTTGTGAACTCATCAAGGATGATCCCTCCTCAAAGCAAGTTGTTGATGAGTAGAGATACCTTCTCGAATGGCAACACGTATATGGGCTCAAAGTAGTACAATGCCTTGTTTAGTAAGTAGAAACTTAAGAATGTGAAGAAGCATATGTTCAAAAGTAAGAACATTCCTTGAGGATCACCAAATTTATCAAAAATATTTAAGTGCATAGGCATCCTTTCTTCTAGAAATAAGAACCAGGACTTTGTCATTGTGGATGCAAGTCATCAGAACAAACCTGCAAACCATGGGAAGTAAAGCATTGGTACCAGATTCCAGCGATAATTTAGAACTTCTTCGAGAGAAATATTTGAGCTTGCTACACTACAAATTTCATCATCTTTATCTTCAGCAGTGGTTTGTTCTATCTCCTTATCCATCTTAGCATGGCTTTTGACAATGTGCATTGAGAGAGCACCCCCAAGAATAAAAAGAGCTCCTAAAATAGAAAGAAAGAGCAAAGACTGGTTCGAGAATATGTAATCTTGAAAAGCATTAGATTTTATTTCTGGTTCTTCAACATTACAACTTAAAATGATTATAAAAGTGCCAGGTCCAAGAAAAAGGATTGCTAATACTTCATACTTAGTCAATTTTTCATTGAGAAGGAGCCATGACCAGAACATCACAAACAAAATTGAGAAAGTTGGTACCATGCTCATAGCAGTTTGGGATGCAAATACTAGAGAAAATGAGTAAATGGGGGTCGATAGAATAATCAGTCCAAACCCTGCTATCCATAATGGTTCTTTCAGATAATTTTCTTTCTGTCCTATTGCTTTAACATGCCCCATTTTTTGGATTGCATATCCTAGCGTTGCAATCACACTTGAGACTAAATAGAGTATTATTAAAGAACTTACCCAGTGATATAAAGCAACCTATTAATAAATCAGTTTTGTCATGCATTTTTACTCAAAATATTATTATATTTCTGGTACCAATGAAATTTTTCAACATTAGAATGGAGAGATGGGGTTTTGGGGTTTTGGGGTTTTGGGGTTTTGGGG